GCTGGGTGGTGGATTTGGGGCTGGAAGTGGATTTGGGCCTGAGGAGGGTGGATTTGAGTGCTGAGTGGTGGTGATTTCCGGGCTGGGAGTGAATTTGGGGGTAAATTTGGGGCTGAGGGAGTGAATTTTGGGATAGGGGTGTGGCTAGAGTGGTGGATTTGGGGCTGGGAGGGTGGGTTGGGGCTGTGAGATGGACTTGAGACTGATGAGAGGATTTGGGGCTGAAGAGTAGATTTGGAGCTGAGGGGAGATTTGGGTCTGAGAAGGGTGGACTTGGGGCTGGGGGACTGGATTTGGGGCTGGGGAGATGAATTTGAGGCTTGGATAGATTGGGGCTGGGAGACAGATTCAGGGTTAAGGAGAGTGAATTTGGGGCTAAGGGTGGATTTGGGGGGTAGATATGGGTCTAGGCAGCAGATTTGAGAGTGGAGGCTGAGGATCTGGGGTTGGGGGTAGATTTGAGTCTGAGAAGAGTGAATTTGGTGCTGAGTGGTGACGGTTTTGGAGCTGGGGGTGGATTTGGGGGTAAATTTGGGGCTGAGGAAGTGGATTCAGGGCTGGGGGGGTGGATTTGGATAGCAGATTTGGCACAGGGGTAGATTTGAGGATGTGAGGGTGGACTTGGAGGGTAGATTTGGGTCTGAGAGGGCTAGACTTTTGGCTGGTGGTGGATTCAGGGGTGAGGGAGTGGATTTGGGGCTGGGAGGGTGAATTTGGGGCTGGGGGTGGATGTGGGGGTAAATTTGGGTCTGAGGAGGGTGGATTTGGGAGCAGATTTGGCTGCACTTGGGGCTGGGGGGGGACTGGATTCAGGGCTGAGGGGGATGGATTTGTGGCTGGGGAGGGCAGCTGTGGGGCTGGGGGGTGGATTTGAGGTACTTTCTCCTCACACTCCAGGCCGTGCCCACTCTCCAGGCTGAGGCAGGAGTGGGATGGGTGGGATCAGGTCGGGCCCCCACCCGCCTTGAGCCAAGGCCTCAGCCCTCCCCATCTGTACTGAAGGCTTTACTAATGTGCTACTACTGTGCTAATAATTTATTTATTTATTTTTAAAGCCTTCCCTTTTTTTTCCCCTCTATTTTTGTTTGTTTGTTTGTTTCAATAGTTTTTGGGTTCTCTTGTCGCCTCACAGGGGTGTTGGGCCCAGGCCAGGGGGGTTCCATCCCCAACGTGCCTGCAAAACCCTGTGCCGATATTTCACTGAACAGTAAATCCACACAAAGCACAGCAGAAAGCAGGAGGCAGGTGGGGGCGAGGATGAGTAAGAAAATTGGGATTCTCTTAGTCAGGGTCCAGCCTGGAAAAGTGAAGGCTCCGGGGTGGCCTAATTGTGGCCTGAAGGGTGTTTACAAGAAACATGGAGAGAGATTATTTACTCCTTGATGCTGCAATTGCCTCGACTTAAATCCTAAGAAGAAATTACATCTTGGAATTGTGCAGTAAAACTACTTTTGGGGGTTATCTTTGTGCAGAAGTGCACATCTATGTCTTTAGATGGGATGGGAAAACATTCATTTAGGGTACAGGATTGTTACAGGGCAGCCTGACAAGTCTGACCCATGACAGCATCCAGGGCTGCTCTTAATGGAATCCGTGGGAGGGAAAATCCCGGTAAAGCCACAGCAGGTTAAATCAAATGATTTTTTAATGAGTTCTTAAATAAATCAAACTTCGCATCTAAAAACGCACTTTGTGAGCTTCCTTTTACCCAGAGGGAATGACTGTTAAAAGCTCTGGAGAATCCCTGCAGGTGAATGTGGGATCTGAACAAAAATACCTCAGTACCAGAGTCAAACTCTGCTCATGGTGCTTGGAGGGGCGGGTTCTGTGGGCCAGCCCCGGCACAAGCCAGCCCTGAGCAGGGGATTTTCATCTCATTGTGTCTGGAAACACTGTGGCTTATTTGGGGAGGCTTAGAGCTTTATGTCCAGCTCACCTGAGCAGGTACAGGCATTTCTCAGCACAACCCTCATGGCAAAGAGGAAAAAGCCGACAGCAAGGGAAGACCTGGCTTGTGAGGGTCATGATTTGGGTCCTGCTCCTCTGCTATTAGAGTAGCTGAAATGAGGGCACAGAGAGGTGTCCCCAAATCCCCTCGGTTGTTGCAGCTCATTGCCAGCACTCAGCTCCATCACTGCTTGCACTTGTAGTGTCATTTATTGTGACCCTGATTTGCTTCTATTTTTCCCATAAAAAAAGGAGGTTTTTCAATTTCTCATCTGTGCACTG